CCCAACTAAATTGTCCAAGACAAGAGAAATCTACCAGTAGTACCCCCGGTGAACCATCGATCGAAGCATCTTGAAGTGGAAGGTTATGGAGTCCAGCTGGATCGGAACTAATTTAAAACACTCCCAACCCATCAACGCAAGATTTTGGCAACCACACTAACCGACAAGAGCCATTAATTGACACTCAACACTTGTCTAGTGTGCTAATGTGAAGAGGTCTCCGTCCGCCTTAAAACCTGGCCAACCAGATTACCTGCTCACTTGGCGTGATGAAGCTTTTGTGTCAAAATCAAAACGTTGCCCAAATGAAAAACTACCACTTGTTTGCCAAGCTCTTGAAACTTTGAAAAGCAGTTTTGTCGCGCTGAAGCAATGAAATTGTTTGCTTGCCTCCCGTTTTCCTCGACGGATCAGTATCGGCGTTCCACTCGGGTTTATTTGCCTCTTCCAGAGGGTGACTGCATGGAGGCCAACTAAACACCTGGTCCAGATGGTTTGCACCCTGCGATATGTCGTGGCTGTCCTGACGATCGCACTCCAATGAATCTGGGGCGTGGAAAGAATACCGACAAAATGAAGCACCTGGACAGTGATGTCTACTTCCAAAAAGGATGCAAGGACGTGTAAAAACCACCATGGCGTCACTATAGTGACCGTAGCTCCCAAGGTGCTCTCTGTTATTATTCTGCGGAAGTTGATACACCATCTGGAGTCAGCTTCGCGATAATCAAGCAGGGCCCAACAGTGATCGTCTTTCTCGATCTAAGATCTGCTTGTGACTCCGTTGGACCTCAGCAACCACTACAGTGTCTGGCGATGAACGATGTCTCTTCCAAGTTCCTGTCTCCTATAAAAGCTTTATGTACCTCATCCCGTGGACGCGTACGTGTCTACAATAAATCCCTTCTTGAGCTCACTACATCCAGCGGTGTCAGGCAAGGGTGTCCTCTGTCGCCTTTCGTTACTGATGCGCTACTTGAATCTGAACTGCCTCTAACACCCCGGGTATCGAAGTGCTCTTCGAAGACATTAGCACACAGACATTGAGTACGTTGATGATATTGCTCTCGTTGGATCAGACCCTTTCCGAATTAAAACCACTAAATAACCTAAATGGCGTTACTGTAACGTTCGATATGCGCTTCGCATCTGTAAAGTGCAACGTGCTGATGCAAGGCTCGTTAGGGTGGTGGGCGAGATAGCTCAAGTGGTAGAGCGCGAATTTACTGACCGGAACTCCGTGGTTCGAGCCCGACCTTTGCCTCTCGACTTCCTCTGGCTTTGGCAACCTGGCAGTATCCCAGCCCTCATGCTTCCTTCGCGTGGCATGGCAGCTAGGCACCAAAAGGGTGTTACAGCTGACTGATTATTTACTGAGGCTTGTTGGAATCAGACCCAATGCCTGCGCTTACTGGTGAATCAATCGTTGGTGCGGATAATTCCGTCTGTCTAGACAGCTGCATAAGTACCCACAGACTAGCGAAGGCCAAAATCACCTCCCAAATTGGGAAGGCAACAGCAGTGGTTGCCAACGTCCAGCACTTGTGGCGCCGACGTAACAAAAGCTTGACTATAAAGGATAGAGTGCACTATGGGGGATCAGAGACGTGGTCGCTGCGTGTGGAAGATCTTCGGAGACTGTGTTTGACCTTTTACTCGATAGATCAGCTTGTCATACTGTACGGCTTGTGTTAGCTTGGCTGGGTACTTCGTATACCAGAGGACTGTTTGCCTCACAGAGCTCTCTTCATCCTGAGTTCTATGAGATGAAGATAATCGAGAGGCGTTCAGTCCATGACTTGGCAGCGAAGCATGAAAGCCCTCAGCAGTCAACTTCTGTCTCCTCGGGCGGGGACTGCGGAACGAGACACTAATGGTTAGTGACACTGACAGATACGGTCTTTCTTCAAAGCTTTCGCCTCCACTGCGCAGCTGTCCGCTTGTCCTACCGGACCAGGAGAAGCATTTGATGTGAATCAGGTGACCATTGCCTTCGATCCGTGACTCTCTTATCCTTATTCTCCTTATTCTCTGTGAACGTATCTGTAGCAGCTGGAACCACTGCACTTCGGTGCACAGTTTATGGTCCGATACACTGAACTCGACTGAACTGGAATTTGCAAGGACAGTTCTGGTCTTTGAGATTCGTTCGTTGATCTCCTCTGCTACATATTTCAGTATTATCCCTTGAATTCCTAGAAACATGCTAAAACACTGTTCCCCGTAGCGTGGCTTTGCACTTTGTGGAAGCGAAGCACATGCCGAAGGACTGGGTGACCTTGATAAACTTCTCTAGTATTGCTTTACCTCATACTCTTCCTAAAAAATTAGATCCACCTTTCCCGCGTATTCCACGTAACTGTATTGTGCCGTGACATGGTGAAGAAATCACGCTACGGTTCTGCGTTACGAATGGCACGATTTGTCTGCCCCAAGATGACCGGAAGGTTTGTAGCAAACAGACTTATTTTGTAACGATAATAGCAAATCAGGACCGTTCTGTTTGAGGTTAGCCCGGCCCTCCTTGAACGTGCTTGGGAACATGGTGTTGAACAGCGCTTAACCGCCCCCAGGCTGTGTTGCTAGAATTCATCTTCAGTAGGCTCTGTGTAAAGTCGGAGTGGTCTGTGGATTTAGATGTTCACAATTTGCACACTTCTAATTCGGTTATCTCTGCTAAGGTACTCACTGATTCACTGAACTTCTTACTCTCAACTTTCGACCCAACAGAAGAAACTTTGTTCGTTACACCGCTGGGTTACCGAATCCTCCTCTGGTGGTTAGCATGTAGCTATGCCCACTTCATGTGTACATGTTAGAAGACGCATGCGATGAACGAACCTGAGTTCCCAGGCTTCCAATTTGGGATCGTTTGACGTTATTCTGGTAATTAATCTGTGTCGATTAACACTACCTAATATAGTAGGTTTCGGCACTACATGCATGCTGCGCCCAGCAGATGTCACAAATTACTGTTCAAATTGCTGTTCTACCCGTTTTTCTTCAAGTTCTGGATGCACTGTTGAGCGTCTCAATTAGTGGACTACGTAACATGTGGATTTTATGACAACGGTTGGTATTTACGCTTCCGCTGCGTTTGTTAGGTTTTTTATTGTTGTTTGTGCAACCAAGGTTGCTAGCCGTGCGTTTGTTCCAACAATCACGCATAGAGTGAGTGTTGTCAACCAATATGGTTGCCTTGTTCTTATTTGTTCGTTTCATATTTGGACTCCAATCACGCAAAGGCCACTTTTTAAAGCGGTAGTTAACTTCATGCTTGTTTCTAACGACCTGATATCCTATCAACGAATCGTTAGCTACAGCAACCCAGTATTTTCTATAGAGAAGAATGTCGGTAGCTGAGGTAGCGTAGATGGCCGTTGGCTTGTTCGCTGAGCTGGGCAATTTGGTTGCATGCATCGCGAGCATCGACTGCTTACTGAAATAAACACATTCTTCGCTCGAAACTTTGCGTTCTGATCGCATCGGGACCGCACAGGAACCAAACAGAAGATATCATTTCACACTGCAGAGTTGTAATAATGACGATAGGCCACAACTCCTATCGTATTAAACTATCCATGTACCTGTTATCATTCATACACACTTCCGAGCGAGAGAAACCCAATGGTCGTGTTTTTTTAACAAAGCCAAAATGAGATGGATACTATAGATTGAACGCTGTCAAAATACGATTGTCTTTTCACTTCACGTCGGTGTGAATGGCTGTTCGAGTGCGTTTTTATCTCACCGTTTGTACCTGTTGCCGGGAGACGGACTTGCTTTATTTACTGTGATCCATTTTGCTTATCACCCTCTCCTGGTACCGGTACATTACGAGTAAAAGAAAGAAACAATGGTTACACAAATTATGGAGGCGTGTAATAGTCTACTTGATATACTTCATATAGTCTACCTGATATTTTAATGACTCTTCTTTATGGCCTTATGTTTTCACAGCTGTGTCAGTCAGCCAGACCTCATGAATTCACTTTGCATGGAAAATAAAACGTTCGCCTCTATAAGCCTTTTGGTGCCTGGCTGCCATGCGACCCGAAGGAAGCATGAGGGCTGGGATACTGCCAGGTTCCTCAAGCCGAGACACGGGAAGTCGAGCTTCACGGGTTGGGTTCGGACAACAGACCTCCCGGTCAGTAAATTTGCACTCTAACCACTGAGTCATCCCTCTCCCACGGGTTCACGTAGAATGGTTAGAAATTTGATTTCGATCAAAAGTGACAATTTCATTTCTTAGATTATCTCACGAGGACCTCATAAGACCAGGGGTATCTGCTCTGCATGTTCGAAAGTTAGGTGCCTATTCTTTAATGTTCATGCAGTGAAGATGCATCCTTGACTTATTAGGGGCATGAAACATGAGTGGTGACATACTTGCCGGCCTTTCTATTGAGAATTAGGTGGAGTTTTGGGGTCTCAGTAGGTTCCGGGCGTTCTGGGGTTAGTTTCAGTAATCTGACCTTCGTGATTGCTTTGACAGAACACGCATAAATATACTTCGGTCTTTAATCTGAAATCAGATAATTCTTATTGCGCGGTTCAGTGAAGCTAGTGGGTACAGTTTCAGTCAGTCGATCCATAGCTCCCAGCGAAAATAAGGGGAATCGACACAAACTACTGGATATCGGAATGTTGATTGTTTGGAATTTCATCACCGAAGTGATCTCGGGTTTCCAAGCAAGAGTTGATATTTTTCCTTTCAGTATAATTTGGCAAAGCATAACAAAAATGGATCCGGTGTCTCGTGATTTACAAGGATCAGGAGTAACGCTGATGCCACATATCGGACCCATGTTCTGAAGACCACGGCTTTCCACCGTGCTGGTTTAGCTTTCGTAAGCCCATTTGATGACCATTAGGTTGATGTGTCTCTCACAAGAATCTCAGTAAGGCCCCAAATGTTTCTTGGCACGAATCGCCAAATCTAGTTTCGTCTGGATCTAGAATACAGTGTTCCGTGTCCAGAGTAAGTTAGTTCCTAGGGACAGGGACATTGGGTTGCTCCTTTTCCTGTCCCCCCAATATACGGAAATTCCGCGTATTGAAGCACAGTGTGAGGGCTTTCTTCCGTCTAAATGCACTCCGTTCTCTTTTTAGCACAATGAGCATTGGTGACAAATTCCTAAACGAGCTTTTGGATACACAGCTGATTTCTGAGGACCGATATAGGTAAGAATTGTATCTTTTCCACCTTCGCACTGATCTCTCTGAGGAGTTTTTGTGGTCTCCTCGTGGAGTTTGTGTTGTGGTGGCTGATCAACTTGCAATTTAGCCTATCCTTTCCCCGCATTTTTGAACTCATTGTTTGGCAATTGGCATCCTCTCTCAGGTCATCCCCCAGATATTCGTGGTTCATTCGTATATTCTCTCTAGGTCGAGTACTCATGTTTGTTTTCGATCCCTCTTACACCTCCTGAATAGTATTGTTCAGTTATATAACTGTTGGGTTTGACTAATTGCGCATCAAGCCCCGCGACCAATGAATTACGTGACCCAGGGCGTTTCCTTTTGTTCATGCACCTTGGACTTCTCTCACTATAAGTCAGATTCCCTGATGTACCGCACAAACATTTTTCGGTTGATGGTTGGGTGGCTGTTCATCTGTTCGGTGAACTTGATAAACGGATAAACATCCACGTGAGCGGTAATCAATAAACGTCACCGAGCTTCCAATACATAGGCATACACAATTATTACAGAATAGATAGGTTGTGGCAATGTTATTTATATGCTAGTTTCACACGCTCCTTGGCTCTGACGACTTGTCTCATTTTCATGTGTGGGGTTTCATCCTGGGAAGAAACTCAAAATTGGCGACTCTTGACCTGAGAGTACAGCGGGGATTCTTCTCTGGAAGAGAATGTAGGTGGTTCATGGGTCAATGCAACCCCGAATTTGTAGTCACCATATGCCTGAGGAAAGTTGCTGTTCCTTGGTTTATTCATTTAGCTTATGTTTGATTCGTTTAAAATCTATCTTTACTATTTTTCTATCATTTTTTATTGTTCACCAGTTATTTAGTCCTACCCGCCGCTAAAACCAGGTTTCTTGTTACTTCAAGATGCGTTTCCCCTGTTGTGGATCTACCAGTAAAATTTCACATAGGCGAAATTCTCACATATTGCAAAGGTAATTAATTGTGCCTCGGGTGTTCCCGCTCCTGGGCTTGCGCACTGTCTTGTGTGCGGGTCTGACACACCTTCAGGTCTGAACACGTGTGCCAACCCAAAACATCCACAGGTCAAAATGCTTAGAAAGACAACAATTTCGGGTTCATCGTCCTGTCACTACTGTCCGTGGATTATATCCACAGATCTAGCGGGCAATCACATGACGAAAATGCAGTTGACATGTTGAACTTCTCTAACGTAACATCTATTTGGGTCCAGCCCGCAATGAAATGAGGATGTATTCGGTTCGAATTGATCTTGCCGCAGTGTCAGTTTGTTCTTCTGATCGACGGCTTCTACGCACTTCTCCGTCCCTCATCATTTTTCTGTTGTACTACTTGGTGAACCTACCATACGTTGTGTCAAGGCGATTCCTGTTAATCTTGGTGCAAGTAAGCCCGCTTATTTGTTATATCGACGTTTCTCCCAGTGTTTGTACTGGTTGATTTGCTGTTTAAGGGGTTGCCTTGGGAACAAGTTATATTTCATCCACTCCTTGTTCCGAAGGTGGCACTTGTTGACCAGTCGATAAGCGGATTCTGCTTTGATGCTTTTGTAAACTTCGAGAATGCACTGCACCATTTGCCGAAAGCCAATGCAAACGTAATTTTGGTTGAACACCATTTCCGTCTTAACAGTCGTCCTCGTCAGATGCGTATATGGAAGGTGCAAGTATCCAAGCTGCTCTACCCTTAGTGTCTTATTTTTCCTACGCATAATCAACCCACCCGATTGTTTGGGTAACATTGGTCAAACTCCAAAATCGTTGACTGAATCCGGGCGTGAAACTCGGAAATTACAGTAAGTTTGTGGAATGCAGCTTTTCAACCAGCCTTCTCAAAGATGTGGTGAAACCGGAATACTGAAGTGGTCAGCTTGTCCAGTGATAAAAATAATTGCGAAAGAACCGTTGCCAAGTGTTAACTTGCAACACAGGGACAGAGACTAGTTTTTCCTATCATCACAGAAGTGCTTTGAAAAAAGTTGCCCTAACAGGACTACCCGGTGAAACGAAATAAACCCACCCGTGGTCGCAGTTGCATACGGTAAAGAGCATGTGATTGGATATGCTTCCACAAGGGTGACGGTTGTAGTGGGAAACGGAATCGAGGGTAACCTGATGGTGTTCGCTGTCAGCGGTTCTGTTGAAGGCAGGATTAACATCAAGGACAAAGTTCTGTAGGCGATCACCGCATTTATTCTGTAGTCAGTTCAACTTGGTCATCTTATGTCGGTGGGTTTCTGTTCAGACTTTTTGAACTTACGAGGTAGGCCCACTGGTGAATTCTGATAGGGAAGTTTTTTGCTACTCTTTTAAAACCACCGCGGATATTCTACAAACCGGAGCGTCCTCGGAATCGGAGTCGTTTCTAGGGCAGTCTTTACGGTTGCGTGCTAATAGAGCATTGACTGCGTTAGAAACAAAATCCCAGTTTCAACCTAGGAAACGATCTTCGATAGTGAAAGGGGTAGGTCTTGCGTCGTGCTCTGACGTAAACTGCACCTGCTGCTACACTGAGGAAGATTTCGGACTCATGACTTTAACCATGGGTCCATCGAACGCTATTTTGTGTGTGCTCCTGTTGCAAACAGATGGCTTGCGAAGAAAATATGGCAGTTTATTTTTGAAATTAGAGATGAATTCAAATGGTTTGCATGGTGCTTAGTAAACTACGCCATCGAACTGACGCAGCGACGTTTGCTTGTGTGGTGGGCTTGGGAGGGAAATCGATGGACACCGAACTGCGCGGGCAAGTGATACTTCCCGGTTGCCCAAGCCGAGGAAAGGGGTTTGGTTGAGGTACCCCACCTTGAGCCTTTGACTCAAAAGTCTGACCCACATGGCAGCGGGCAGTAGGTTTTTTTTCGAGAACCCTGTCCGGAACCGATGACTCAATAGTCTGACCGGTTCGGCCGCAGGGGGTTGGCCTATCCCGAGGGTTCAGGAAATAAGGCATTACTGTCCCATTCCTGATGCGGCTGCGCACAGCAGATGCCTTTCGAACAGCAGCGGACTTTTTTTTTTCAAAAGTATTTCGACCGTATTGGATAATGCGATGGCGTTCACGGTCAACCGCTGAGCGATCGGAGTGTGCGGTTTTTGGGGCCGACCTTTTCTAACCCGTCCTTCCTCGGGGGAAGGCGGCATCACTGCTTCCATAAATATGGACATGCTGGTCGCCTGGGGGAAACACCTTACTGCCTTCACACTGCAAAGGACAGTGCGACTTTACTTCCAGACCACCTGGTAGCACGATTACTCATAGTACGGGATCTCACTGCTCTTTGTCTGGCTGCTCCCCTCTGGCCTGCCTGGCATGGTTGCACCTTGTGGAGCGAAGTTCCAGCCGGTGTAGCCCGCGGGATCATTGCAATACTCAAGCCCGACCACCACGTCAAGGTGGTCGAGAGTGAAATACGTACACGTTTTCCATTGCCTGGCGTGTTCAAAATGTGTGAAGCCATTGTGGTTCATTGGGTTTCTTGTTCTCCCGGATGGCACTTGTAAAGCTCGACCAGAGTAGTGGCTGTAGTGTTAGCGAGGGAAACCACTGCCTTTCACCACCACCCCGATGCGCATTACCCCAACCGCTGCAGTCCACGAGACTGCAAAATCTGGGCCTTGCGATCACTTGTCCGAAAACCACACACTGCATGGGCGCACGTCGCACACAGCTGCTGTTTTGAAGGGAGATCCATTCATCTGGAATCAGCTCATTCCGAGCTCAGTGCAAGATGCGATCAGTCACTGTAATTCGATCTAACGGTGGACAGTAAAAAATCGGGACTGTTTGCTAGCACAACAGGGGTTTGAGGCCTAGATTGTGGCATATGATAGTAAACGCATATAAACAACGATCGGCTTTGCTACGGTCCCTCAGTGGGTCACATAGGCTGCTGCAGCTTTCCGACTTTACGGACCTGGTACTTCCATCAGCCTGCACATACTCTGCTTCGGTTTTCTTAACGCAGTAGGAAGAACCTGAACGTGCAAATTCCAGTGGACAGTTTGGAAGCTGCTGTATGGTAGGCTAGGCACTAAGCACTCACACCGACGCGTGGAGACGAGATGGCTCAAGTGGTTAGAGCGCGAATTTACTGACTGAAAGGTCTGTAATACGAACCCGACCTCTACCGCTCGACTTCCCCTGTCTAGGCTTGGGCAACCTGGCAGTATCTTAGTCCTCGTGCTTCTTTCGGGTTGCGTGGCAGCTAGGCACCGGAAGGGTGTTGCAGCTGAACGACTTATTTATTTATTTTACACCGATGCATACTCGTAGCGTTCGTCCATGCGATTTTTCCATTCGGTATTCGGGCTACTGAGTTGGATTTGTCTTGTCTTGCTGGGTTTTGGTGTATGATTCCTTTTGGACTACAATTCTCGCTCACGCCATCTTAGTGGTAATCTTTGCAGGTTGAGAACAATTTTTTCCGGAGCAAGACTGACCGCTCGTTTTATGCTAAAAGGGGTGGACGGTGTACACTATTTTGACAATCAGCGCTCCAACTGAAGTCTCCTTGCAGAGTCCTTTTCGAAAGTGCATGACGCAAAAGCTAGGCTTTCTTCTAACAAAAAACGACAGAACTGCTGTTGTCCTCGTAGATGACGTCATAAGTATTAAGCTGTGAGCTTTGGCTTTGGGCAAGTTTTTTCATCACCTCTGAAGCTCATCAGTCATCGTCATAATCAGCTGTCAGCTTGTACAGTGGTTATTGCTGCCACAGTTTCGTTCACCGATGAGAGGTGTTAACTGTCAATTCCTTAGGCGAGGTTGTCGCGAATCAATGCGGAACCTAAGTGCATATGAACGATATGGGACAGCATCCGTGGTAGCTCGGTTGGTAGAGCACTTGCCAAGTAGGCAGAAGGTTGCTTGTTCGAGTCCCGTCCAACGACTGTGCGTTTGCATTGTATGTCGTTCGTTCAGCTGCATAGCTGCAATGCCACCCGAAGAAAGCACGAGGGCTAATATGCTGCAACTTTGCCCAAGCCTAGACAGGAGCAGTCGAGATGCACGGGTTTTGAACTGCGCAACTTCCAATCAGTGAGTTCTGGACGTAACCATTGAGTTACAACCTAATCGTGAGAGAATTTAACTGACAGGTAGTGCTTTTTTTTGCACAACGGAGTCCACCATCCTGGAATTTATAAAAAGTCCCCAATATTTCCCTTTTTACCCAGAATGATTCTGACAGAAGTCTGTTCCGGAAGGCGTGTCTCCTTAGGTTTGTCTCCATCGTGAGGACTCCTTCTAAACTGGAAATTCTATGCGAAATGTGCAGTTAAAGAATGTAAGATGAAATAAGCCCTCACTAAATTTAGCACGTCTATTATGGGTCAGGACAATTCACCATTTCCTCGTTTCCTGCCTCTCCCTCTTGTTTCATCAGATGGGTGGTCTACGATTTCCAGGTTACCATTTAATTCCTCACCTATTTGATTCGCTGCCTCCGTCAATTTCTCAATCGATGAGGGGCATTGAGATCCGACGTTGATGAATCTCCAATCCACTCGTTTTCAAATACTTATTGTGCGCCATCCTTACTCGTGTGATATCATTCAACACGCGGAGAAGAATTCATCACTTGACTAATTCAGCGTCAAATGGGGTTCTTTCACAGATACACGACCTTAGTAGAACACAACTGATACTATCGTATGATCGGCCTGCGTTATTACCCAAGTAGACGGAGGAATAACGTGTCATTGCCAACCGTGAATGGTAGTCGAGTGACCACATAGCGAGCAGTGTTCCTTAAGGAGCATACTGCGATATCCCACATACCAAACCAACTGAAACATGAAGTGGCCTTTGTGTAGCACATTCAGTTAAAGAATGTCATAAAGAGATTCAGCTGGGTTCATTTGGGTGTCCCGCGAAAACCAGATTGCTGTGTACATGATTGTACTTCGCGAAATTCGTACAATTTGGGTTCAAGTAGAGCATAAGTTTGGAGAGCTGCGCTTGCCTGATAAGCCCGAAGTAGGGTGACAAAAGTTGTAGGCTGTCGAAGAGTTTTCTGTGACCTCTGAGTAGTGTTCCTTCAAGAGAAGCGTAGCGAATTTCCAAAACATTCGCCTCCCAAAATTAACGTCTTGGTTGTTCAGATCATATAGACGAATCAACCATCAATTAACTCGCGAAATACACGCATCTGCATGGTAATCTTTTAAGCAAGGCCTTCTGACTGCGGAAACTGGAATTAGTGAATTATTTTGTATATTTCATTCTGGGGCTTGGGCTTCTATGTTTGACCCACAAGTCAGTGTGCGCCTGACAGACCAAGGGCGTAGGGAGTAAACCGTGGAAGTCGCACTTCTAATGGCACTGTGCATAGCAGGCGCCTTCTGAGCATCATCGGGCTATTGATTTTCAAGGATGTTTCGGTCTTATTGGAAAATGTTCTGGCAATCTTGGTCGGCTGTTGGGCACTCAGTGTACGCCTTTTAGAACCGACTCCCTAATCCGTCGTCCAGGCCAACATTCAACACACACAGACCACAACGCTGTTAGTTATAGATGGCGTGAGTCAGTTACTGATTGTCGCCCCTTCTGGAACACCTACGTGGATTCAGATCGCGCGCCTGTACGTGGCTGCTTCTCACTGTACTTCTCACAGGCGCACCTCAGTCAGCGCTTGTCTGATCTGGTTGCTTGCATTTGGGAAAAGGCGTCTGTCCCAGACAACTGGAGAAAGTCGGTTATATTGCCAATTTCCAGAAAAAGGGCTCGCAGCGTGTGTAGTAACCACACACCGTAACGAGACTGTTAGCATTATTGATGCTTCATCGCCTTACAGTGACTCGTGAAACACTGACTCGAGAACAGCATGATGGATTCCGGCCTGGTAAAGATTGTGTTAACCAAATCTTCACCCTTCCTCAGGTGCTAGAACAACGTCATACGCATGAGCGACCTACAATTCCTGGATTTCCAAGGCGCATTGACTCGGTTGAACCGTCTGTTCTTTTTGATACGCTTGCTCACCAAGGAATGCCCCGGGCTTCCTTGAACACATTAAGTTCTTTGTATTTCCAGACTTCTGAATGTGTGAGAGTATACCGCGAGCTCCCTAAGAGCTTCCGTACATAAAGCGGTGTTCGTCAGGGGATGCCCACTCTCTCCATTTCCATTTAATTTTGTGATCGATGAAATCATGAGACGAACGCTGGAAGGTCTCCAAAACCCGGGCGTTCAAATGTCCTGTGACATAAACCTTTTTGATCTGTAGTATGCAGACGACATCGTTCTCATGTTCGAAGGGGAGAAGGCGCAGGTGTTTTTGGATGAACTGACCAAAATCCTTTGGTGTGCACTTCGCACCTATAAAGTCTTAAGTATTTCCCGAGAAAGTATTACGTTATTCTCCTGGACATGAAGTCACTGAGCACGTCACTTACAATCCAGGGAGAGGCACTGAAAGTTGTGGAGCGTTTTGTGTATCTTGGAAATTGTATTAGTTCTGATTGTAGCTTGACAGATGAGGTAAATGCATGAATCTGCAAGGCTCGCGTTTGCTAATTTGAGACACGGATGGCAGCAGAGCGGTGTATCCCTGGTTCTCAAGGGACTTGTGTATCAAGTGCAGTGCAGACCGTTTTGTTGTGTGACTAAGACTTCGCCTGTTCGAGCGGCTGAACTGAGACGTCTTCAGGTATTCGACAATCGTTATTTCAGAACCATAGCTCGTGTGGGTTGGTGTCGATGAATCTGTAACGAGGCAATCAGAAAGCGAGTTTTCGGTTGTGCGACGGGGAATTCCATTGAAGAATGTGTCCAGCACCAGAAGCTGCGTAGGTTGGGGCGTGCATTGCGTATGCCGAGTCATCGTTTTCCATGCGCAACTCAGAGTGGCGGAACCGGAGAGGTGGCCAGCTCTCGACATGACAGAGGGGTATGAAGGAGATTGGGAAGCGTTTAGGTGCTGTCGGTGGGACTCGCCTACCACGATGGGAACCGCGTGATCCCCACTGCGGCTGGTTGGAAACGCTTCAAAATATGGGTGTCAACCGATGTCAATAGCGTTCTCGTCAGTTTCCATCCACATTGAGTGAATGAGTATCCGGAAGTTTAGGCACCTCAGAATGATTGTAGTAGGCTAGCATTAAGTCCCTTCCCGTCCACCTTTATTCTTCTCAATAAGGCTTTCAGATACATCATGGTTGTAAGACACTAAAACACCGCTGTTGAACAGTGATTTCATGCTGTCGATGATGATGATGATGACACCTTGCCCGAGAAGCTCTCGGACTCTCATGAGCGGGAAATTTACCACAACTTCTGTTGAAGTCTTTTCCGGACAAAAGGTCTTCTGATGTGGATTTTTACTAGATAATACTCTTAGCAAAATTGCAAGATGCGGGACATTCCGCCTGTGGAATGGCGCAACCAGCCAGATCTGTGCAGTGGATTTTGAGCATCATAGTAAAGTCGCTCGAACGTTGGACACGCATTCGTCCTAATTGAGAGCATGGTACAGCTCGATGAACTTCAGGGATCGAAGGGCATTGGCGTGAACCAAGGAGTTTCGTGGATCTAGAAAACGGAAGAGCTGGAGGAGGCGACAACCTCTTGGAATGTTCATAAACTATTACAGTTGATACTCGCACCGTTCTCAAAGAGGCCTTTAGTGAGGTGAACAATCACTGATAAAATCGGCTCGCTTATATCTGAAAAAAGAGACCAACTGGATCATTGGTCTGAACCCCTAACAACAATTCAGCTAAGTGTCTGCAGTTGCTCAACTAGATTCCCGATCCGCAACACAGCCCTGGACATTGAACTTGGAACCTCCGATGGCTTCAGTGATAAGCAGGTGCGTACACATCCAATCGCTCAACCAGACAACCAGGAAAGAGTCCGACGGCGGGATGTAATTTTCCTGTGTATCTAGAATATTCGCTATTTCACACATGTCAGGGACACTGTCTGACTAGAATGCAACAGAAACTGTGCGACTTTCAAGATTCTGTTTCAATTACATGCGTTCCGTAATTTGCGACCAACCCCTAAGAGAGGCACGTTGAGGTGAGGTTGTGCGTAGCTGAAATAGAACATTCCTTGGTGGGAATTTTATAAGGTCACAAAATGGTCAAGCGCCGACGTCAGTAACTCGTACATTGCTTAGGCGACTGCATTTCATCTGGGAAACCCTATTCTCGGCACTGCTATCAAGCGTCTCCCAATTTCTGGACGAACGCAACTAGTGAGTGCAACCTAGTGAGGTGATTTCGATCCGACAACCATGAGTCACTCAATATATGTATAGCTACTGTTTGGTGAACCGACTGGAGTAAGTTGGTTCTTGATACTGTACTACCGCTCGTGATACCTCGATGGTCGAGGCGTGAAGTTATTGACTGGAGGGTCCGCGGTTCGAACCCAGCCCCATAACATAACTCCATTCTATCCCTCAACATAGGTTCAGGAGAAATGAGTGGAGTTCACACCAAACCACGATGTAGTTGTCATATGGTGATGTTGTAATTTTTGTGGCGACGTTCTTCAGCTAATTCAAACATTTTCGAAGATTAGACACTCGGTCTCCATTTTGTGATGAACGTACCAGATAGAGTGGAACTCGGTGTAGCAGCGGCGTCATCGCAAAAGGTCGCTTATCAAAAACCGAAATAAACAATATAGCTTCAAATCTCAGTGGGGACACTTTTCATGTGCGTTGCAGCTTGTCTGATTTTTTTGCAATTAATGTATTTTGTTCTGTTCGACGTGTTTCCTCGCCATGTTCCCCGCTCTAGACAGTTACTATCGCTTTACGTGATCGTTTTTGGATTAAGCCTATTAACTTCTTTTTTTGCCGAAGGCTCGTCATCGTCGCCTGTGGTTAAAGTCTATTATTATGCTTTCCATTTTGTCCACTCTCGATATTATCCTAGGGGAGAGCGAGTTTTTATCCCGAATCCTCGGACCATCTACGGTGGTGAACTGATGGCACAGGCGTTAGTGGCAGCGTCAAAAACCGCTCCTGAAGGTTTCAAAGCGCATAGTTTACATTGTTACTTTCACAGCCAGTGTGAGTTTCATCCGTCTGTTTTCTTATGTCACGCTATCCATATTTTCTAGGTGTATCCTATAATTCTCGACTTCGTCCTGTCTTATTGCGGATACCAACAACTCAAACTATTTAGGCTACTTTCACTTGCTAAGTTCTCGTACTGTTACCTGCCCTGAGAGGGACAACGCACTGGATCTACGACTGACCAATTAGATCAAATAATAGGGCAACGAGAATTCAGCACATGAAGTTGAGCCCAACTGTGCAGTAACCGACCGACACTGTGTCGCGCATAGCGTTGAAAAGCGACCCTCAGGCGCCAATGCTGAGGCTTTTCCAATTGAGCCACTGTGCATGATGACCTTTCTTGTTTTTTCCCCGTTGTCATAGATTGTAAGTTTGACTTGTGGAGTTCTCGTTGCATATTGGAGCACAAATAGCTGACCCCGCTTGTAGGGTTTACCACATTGTATTCTCTACGTGTATTCAACATGTGTGACCTAATTGGGCGAGATTCACACATGGATCGGAGGCTGTTGACTTTCGATGCATGGTTGTGTTTAAATCGCTGGAAGAATTTATGAAAACTTCAATCAGGAAAACTGGTTCCCCTATCTTGTTTCTCTCTTCATGTTATACATTTTGTCAGGAGATTGCAACAAGCTGCTAAAATGCTGCTTTTTCAAGGTCGCGAAGTTGTCGTTGACGCGTTGAAACCATAGTTTGGGTGGGTTAAAACCGCGAAAAGGATAAACAACCACAGTCCTGCCCGTATTTACCATGATTCTTAAGACAACTCGTCGTCGACCGAAGGAGAAGTTCCGTTGCTTAGGAAATTACCAAGGTTTAGCGATTTTCGGATGTATATTAAACATTCGTATATCACTATACGGGTACACAACGGTACCACTTGAGTGCTCGCTAACATTTTGTCGTATTCCAAGACTGCGGGAAATTTCTTGAGTAAAATCATAAGAATCAGCCATGTGACAAGAAAGGTTACGTTTAGCTCAGTCCAGGTAATCAGCTATAAATCACGTACCAAGCTACGTTAGTTTCAAGTTTTGCAGTTTTCATCTATCGAAAAAATGAGGGTACAGCGAGGGAGTCGCGGGGTACTCGAGACGGTGGTGTAATCGGTTAATTATCGTTGACTCGTTTTAGTTTACTGATGAATTGGGGATTCTGCAGTCTCGCATTGAAGGCAATATCTTTGCTGCAGGAACCCAATTGTGTTGATGAGCTTTTTCTCAGTTTCTTTGCCCATTGGTGAGTTGGTTTCCGAGGTCCCTATTCTTATGGGCGACAGCGGCCCACTCGACTGAGTTTACTGGTCTGTTCGGTGACTTACGAGTACGTCTTCTAAGCCGTGTAACTTCCGTGTGTGTACATTGGCATAGAGTACCTATATGGGGGACAAAAGTTTGACCGCCAGACATTGTTAAGGTCACTAGCGATCGACTGAGTCGACTGAGTCAGGAAAAATAACCATCACTGTAAGTTTCAGAGTGTCGGTGTTCGAGCACTTATTTCGCTCAATCATGGTGAAATCCAGCTTGCTGTTCGCGAATATGTATTCTTGATAGTGAGTCAACGGGCTCAAGATAATGCTACGGATCCACTTGGATGCGTCGGTAAGATGTTTTCCGACCCTTGTTGCACATCCTAATTGCTGTCAGAACGTCCCTTGCCACCATATTCTGGCAATTGTCTGAATATTGATAGTTTGGGTGCATTAATTGGTAGTTGATCAGGAGAGATCATCGCAGCTCATTAATGATATCTCCTCGGATGGTGACGCAACATCCGAAATTCGATTGCGTATCTGGGCAAACAGATCAACGACCACCTGATCAGCTACCAACCAGTCTTCTGTTTTCGTTCTAACTGGTATATAGATCACACCACCGTTGGAAATCGTGCTGTGCAATACATCTAAACCAGGTACGTTGTCGCACTGAAGGAACTATGTCTGCTGGAACTCTTGCTAATGCAGAGCTGGTACCAACGTTCCATCCGGGTTACTGGGTTCCTCCATATTTTACATTGAATGACAGCGAAACCGTTCTACATGATCGACTCATTGCTGTAAACCACGTGTGAGTTAAAATTAACCAAGGGATCTTGGTTTGAACTTGAGAGGAGCATGTTCAGCCCACTGACGAGCGTTTTTGAGCGGACTTGAACGTTGAATAGCGGATTATTATCAGGCGGTCTTTCCGAAGACCACTCCCACGATTGTATAAGCACAAGTTGCGGCCAATAATGTGAATAAATAGAGCTGGACTGTGTGTGTGTGTGATCCAAAACTTGAGTTCGGCCAAAATGGCCGTGCTTAGACTGGTCTCCTGACGTCACATTTCATAATTGCTTCCTCAATTAACCAGCAACATTCTGGCATAATAGACCACGAACTGGATTTCCAGACGGCGTCTACCCACATTTCGCTGTTACCTGTTTGGGTTACTGTGTAGCAGACAGACGGCTGTCCTAAATCAGGTTTACGGCAATCAATGCCGCGTCCCTGGACTGGTCACAAGGCAAACCCAACAGTACCGAGAGTAATGATTTAGCGGTCGATCGAATCAGCATCAAGCTAAATCCACGATATTAAGCGTTTGGTATCTGTTTGTCGGTCGCGGTTCATTTTATCCGTGGTCTTTTTACGGGACGCGAAAACAAGCTAAAATGATGATTAGGAAGGCTAGTTAACCATGACGGAGAAAATGTTGAATCGGGAGTTACCGGAAATTCATCGGTTTGAATAAATACCACGGCAAATTTCTAAACAGCTTTCGAATACTAAAGTTCCCCCCTCCACACTCATAATGACTCATTTTGTTGAACTTATTAATATTTGCCCAGCTTTATCTTCTTCGCCGGGGGGGGGGGTTCTTTCTGCGTCTTTATGGGTAGGTTACTGGAATTCCGGGACTCAATATTAGTTTATTGCTGTCGATTGCTATATAACAGAAGTAAGAGGTGGTTAACCCGTAGGTGATGGGAATATGAACATTTGGTGGATCTACTCCATATCTTAATCCTACGCAGGACATTTCGTTGTGAGTTGCGTCGAAAGGTGCTTGCAACTGGAAGCGCATGAGGCCGCAGCATAATCCCAATACTGTAGGCGGGCAGACTGATCCGTGTTCTGAAACACCTCTGTTCGATCGCGTTCTCTGCAGTGACATGAAAATCCCGGCAAATTTACTAGATCCATATTTTCGTTCATTTCTTCAGTCATACTTTCGAGCGAACCAACATGTGTATACATGCAGTACCGTACAGTACAGATAAACCAATGTAGACATCTTCGACTTACCGTGTATGTACATGCTGCAGTCTCCCTCGGTGGTTTCATTGACCAACGTTGTGTTGTTAGGGTTCTCCCTCGAGGTTTAGCCGATGTGCCATGAAAACATGCTTACATGCTTGTTCTATCTCGTATCGTTTGTGGTTTTCACTGGCATCTGCCAAAAGATGAGTTCTGTTTTCACACACGTGAAGCACAAACCCATTTCAGGTTTGTCCTCCTGCTTTCTGTTTGCAGCCAGCGTCAAGCATCCAAATGAGTACAGAGTGAGGAGATTTCGTGACAGCCGATCATTTAGTCACCGCCTTGTTGAGGCATTTCCGCTCACGGAAGAGATCAATGGCGACGATTCCCGACCGTTTTTCCGTATGGATTGCTCGTTCAAGTCACCGGAGGAGGACCCCGCCTGTTTCGTGCCTCCAATGCCTAATGTACCGACAGCTGAAGAGGTTGTTGACACGCAGACATTTATTTCAAGACTGAACTTGTGAGTTTTGTGCACAGCACTTGTATTTAGATTGCTTGATTATTTTCTTACCTGCATCTGCAAAAGACTCGTTTTTGACCACCTAACCGGAACCTTTAAAGTGAGTGTGAGTGTATGGTCTTGTGTTGTGGAGATGAGGAAAATTTAACGTACAGCTTTTGAAACAAGTTTATAAAGATTTGCTATTACCCAGAGGTCCAATGAACTTCTGACTGAAAGATATGTGACGCCTCGGTCACTTTGCTTCCCTCACCGGAGGTGGGCCGTGCGGCAATAAAGTGCCGGTGTCCGTCGATAATGCTGTTGAAGCCGGTCAGTGCTTTCGCCTATCTAGGAGCAGAATTCGGCCCAATCCTGACGGTTTCAGCTTCTGAGAGGTGCCGTTTCGTTAGTTATCTTCACAGACAGCCGTCGGTCAAAGTCAATTAAGAGGATACTAGCGAAAGAAAAAAATGTCCTCAAGCGCAGAGTTGCAGATAGCTTATAAGCTATCGGATACGAATGCAAAGATTGCAGTTACAGAGTTCTTCCGAAAGTCCACATTCTCACTCGTACTCCTGAGCTTTCCTGTTTAACGTGAATCAGTGGACACTGTCAAACCTCTCAGTGATTTCGAAATCAGGTGCAGAGGTTGGTGTTTTAGACAGCTTGTATTATTCGAACCTCCCATCAGTTGCATGCGCCCATGCATCAACACAAATGTCACCTACCAGGAAAGATTGTCCATACCGACAGACAGCAGTCTGGGGTCCCACGGGTAATCCATACCATGCGCGAACCAGTTTTCTGCGCATCTACAATATCCATTTGTTTATATACGTGGACGTATATGTATGTTGAATGTTTCCACACTGAGTTTTATAATCTTAATCCATGTGCAGTCCGTAAGTAGGTCAACATTCCCTCAGCGAAAAGACTTCACTCTTGTGTATTTCTTCTGACTGGGAAGTGCCATTGTCGCAATTGGGGTGAAAAGTTATGATCTGCAGAGAAAAGCGAATGAGATGCACGGTGCATCGATATATCTTCGGTGCTGTTAGGACGGACCCCGCGCGATGACCACTGGGTGTGGGAGAGCGTAGCTTGTGGATTAGCTTATCAACAGGTCCCCCGGCGTTTCGGAGAGACTCAGACAAGGCAACATTCCCTGTAAGGCAAACTAATAATGAAACAGTTAATGTAACCAAATCAGGCTTAAATGTTGAACTTTTCGATCGGCGATAGGAACCAAAATGTTTAGCCAAGTAACAGCCTAGAGATATACCAGGCCGGTGATAGACCGTGGCCGCACCTGAATATTAACTGGGAAAACAGTGGTATTGTGATAATCCACGTTACAAATCCATAGGGAACACAGCTGTCTAACCAGCCGTTTGTAACCGGTGTGCCGCTACACAAAACTGGGACTGGCAAACCCGAGCACACGCATGTTGCATAGTTCCATCTGAACAACGGTTTCAGGGAGTGGTTTTGGCAATATATCATCTTCTGTCAGGACGATACGTCAGGTTTTATTCGTCTAAACTTGTAAAGTAGCTGGTACTCAAGTGGATCTTCGAGGGACTCAAAAATTCATCAGTGTTAGCCGATTTGAGTTTTAACCAATGACCATCCCACTCAGTATACTCAAATCCATGTAACGTATTTGTAAAAGTACTTGTCTGCTGGAATTTCATCACAATCACTGCTGGATACAATTGTGTTCTGAATTCGGAGGTCCTCTGTTGATCAGACTACTCAATCGGCACTTGGTTTTTATGACTTGATGAATGGCGAAGGGATTTTATCCAGAATTGTGACTGTAACTGTGTGTCGCAAAACGTATCGGGTCTCAAACCTCATATCCCCGGTTATATCGGCTCATTAGGATTTAATATCGCGGAACTCGAATCCCTTACAAGTAGCTATATGCCGACGAACGCAACCAGTTCCTTGGTTTTGTAACTACAGTTGTCCGGCGCGTGACATCTAAGAGAATCTGATTTGTGACGTACGTAGGAAGATGCTGGGATTTATACAATATTTCCCAGCTAACCTGAACAGTTCATAATTTTACAAATATACTTCTTGGTTGAACACTACAGAAAATGCTTTTCAAGATTTCGTGCTCCTCACAAAAAACCGGAACAAATAGAGGTGATGGGGCCACCATCCAAGTCATTCAACTTCTACTCCTATTGTGACACGTCAACATTTATTATCAACACCCGAAGCTCACTTTATCCCAGAAGCTAAATATTTAGAAGTACTGGTCAACTTGTGAGCTAGAGATGACACCCTCTTGGTCCAACACCCGAAGGCTTTAAAATCCCTGTTCACAATAGGGATGACTACGTAAAAGGTGCTAGTATAAATCCAAGGGAATTGGATCGGTGGTTCGGTACGCAAAGGCCTATCAGAAGCTATTAGTCTTTTAAATATGATGCCTTAACGATAGCTGTATAATGTCTTTTACACCAAAGCTCTGGCCTCATTCGTCAACTCCTTTAAGCTTCAGTGGGGTATTGCACACAACCCAGAGAAGCGGTTGCTCATGGATGTTTTCTGGTACTGTCTGAGGCGTACCTTTGGTGTTTCACAAAGTGGAACCACTATTTGTAACTTTGGGTATTTTACTAACGCTTGCTTTTTTCTCCCGATTTCGTTACTCGGGTGTTCTGATACCTCTTTCTTGCATTCTCTAAACCAGGAATGAACTTCCGGAGGTTTCCAAAATTAGAATTCATCATTATCATGAATTCACCAAACTGTCACCAATGGAGATCAGACTTTGCGAACCAGAGTACATTTTCGGTCTGAAATCTAACAAAGTTGGTCGTCTACATGCCTGGATTCGACTGAAGGAACCTCCAAGTAAGGATTCTCGTTGGAATGTCTGTTGTGATTTCCAGTTTGTTCGAACGTGTTTTAATTAACTCGTTCAAATGTGAGGTGGTTCAAATGCCTGTGATTTAGCCAGCTAATGTTGTTGAAGAATCAATAGCCACCCGATGCTTAAAAAACAAAAACTATTCTGCAGTGCATCAACTTGCGATAACCTGGATCATCGTCTGACTTCACCATTTTACGTTGATAGGGATGTGTGTGCCTTATAACGGACACTAAAACAATCGACATGCATCCGTTTTCTCAACACCGGAGTGTATAACAAACGATGAAACCAGCTGAAGTGTTGTACACCCATGGGAACAACGGGACTCGTTGGATCCTGCGGAGAATTCTCTCAAAGTGCATTCTGTGTTTCTGACTTTGTATCTGAAGCGCTTCACCCAGAGTCTTCTGCCTCACTGTGGATTATTTTTCAAAGTTATGGGCTTTGTTTTTATGGTCACTTATTTTCCTAAGCGGTTGAACGCACACGTTAGTTGCATTTTTGCTGTTCCTTTGGGCCGACTTCATTTCATCTTTACTGACTGCATCTTTTTCGCATTCCCTGCTGTTTTCTTTAGGACCATACTTGTGATGTGTAGCCCAAGCAAGCTCTCCTAAATTTGACAACACTTCCTAGAAGTAATAGGCTACTTATCAAAAGACCGCCACACGAGATCCGTCAGATAATTAGCGCTCGAAACCAGGTGTTTAGGTAACAGAACCTGTGTAGGTGAACAGAGCTCACTGAAATGAAACAATATTGTGACGCCACCTGCTTTCACTAGCCACTCGCTTCCGAGTGATATGGTATTTGCTAGGGTTACTAATTCACCTACGGTGTTCCCCGCCGTAGGTGGGGTGGCGAGGTGCGCCATCCCTCGATTCGAAATTTTTATTACTTTCTTCATATGAAAGAGGAATAGCTGTAAATAAATTCTAGTATTCCTTCTGCATTGATTAGGTTGGGTCTCAGAATGTGGAAGGAAGATTGTGAGACACTTCGTTACTTGTTTGTTTGTTTATTTCCTCCTTTAGCGGAGCGAGATTGCTCAAGTGGTTAGAGCGCGAATGTACTGACCGGAAAGTTCGTGGTTCGAACCCGACCTCTGCCTCGCGACTTCCTCTGTCTAGGCGTGGGCAACCTGGCACTATCCCATCCCTCATGCTTCGGGTAGCATGGCAGCTAGGCACCGGAAGGGTATTACAGCTGAGCGATTTTTTCCCTCCTTTAGCCTCCATTGCCTCCAATACTGCAGCATTATTACGTTCTGCACCTACTAGAAATTCAGAATGATCCATGTTTCTTTTTTTACGCTTCTAGCCATCCCACTGGAACCATATCGAGATGCCACACTCACATATTTTTCGGACTGTGTGCTAATCTGGGGCGCGATCACTGAGCCACACCCAGTGAGCTATCTGGTCACGTTGAATCAAAGCATCTGGTTTCATAACCCCTCAGTTTGTCCTCAAGCAGATCACTGGGTGCTATTCCAGACACGGGCTAATTATGTGGGTGAGTTGTAGTTGCGTGAAAACTAGCTTTTTCTCATCGTGAAGATCCCAGGGCCAATAGAGGGAATGAGTAACGATCACTTGATGATGTGCTGCCAACCTTTTGGCTTTCTGCATGCTAGACGGTATAATTTTTATGCAGTTAACTTCTCCTTCAGTTTTTAACACAGTGTTCCGCCTTTGTAACGACCACATGTCACTGGAAGAGATTTCGGTGTAGTCCGCCAGTTTTGAAAGCGGACCAGATCAATTTCCATGATAATTTCATTTTATTTAGCTTTCTTAAAGGTGCGTCCGACGGAGCGCCTGTCTGTTTGTGGGCAGTCCTTATGCAGATTTATATCCTTGATGTGTTGTCTATTCGCTATGTCTTCTGCACGTACCTAGAAGCTCTAATTTGCCAGGTCCGTTCGACATGAACAGCTCCATAGTGTGAATATCTCCGCCAATCGAATGAGTGTTTGCCGCTTTTTTCCATTGCAATCTTTTTGGAAACTTCTTTCCGTCGAATACTGAACGTTAGGTTCAGTTGAACTTTTTCTTTCCGGGCGAGCGGGCTGACATGCTAAGCGATTTCTTTCCATTGTTAAATTCATTCCGTGTCCTCAATTCAAACAAAGCCAAAGCAGATTTTGGACTGTTGCTGTCCATCCCTCAGTATCATTTTGGAAGCAATTACCGAGCACATAAATGGATTGTTCCTGGCTTCGGCAACAGCCTAACAATGCCCTAGTTATTGATTTCAATTCAATTTGCAGGAGTTTCACTTCCGTACCCTCGCTGCGAATACATACGAACAACAATGCCAGTTTCGCCGACTACCGTTCAGTAGTTTTAAAGTAGCTTCTAGATTACACGGCTCAAGAACATGACAATAGATTGTTTCATCGTAACTGGAGAAGGTGCTATGGCAATATATATATATATATA